TCTTCGCCTTATAATAAGCGCTATAGTCGGGTTATTACAGTTTTTACGATTGCTATGACAGATTTTTCAAGACTTTTAACAATTTTTCAAAACTCTTAACACAGTTAGCACTACATCCGTCTCTGTAAGCTTTCCTATTAACACATTTCTTGTTGCTTTAACACAAAATGCATACAATTAACACAAATTTCAAATGCTTATGGATTTTTAATGGCAAAGTTTCCAATGCTTTAACACTGTGGACCCTATTTTAGCGATCTCAAACGCAAGTATCACGCGCAAAGCGTAAGTAACTTTGTGGGCGGATCTCGGCGCTGTTGCTATTTAACCGGCGGGATAAATGACTCATGCACTCGACGCAAGTTTCAAAGGGGTTGGTTTGAAGTAGCTTCATTATTCATAGGTGTGGTTTGGGCTTAACGGAAACAAACCAATCAGAGCGTCATATCACATTCCCTTTAAAGTCCCCGTGAAATCAAAATTGAACCTATTTACTTTGTTAGCGCATATTACTAGTCTTGTGGTGAACAATTAATCCGTGCAAGTAAAAATATATTTAAAAAATGTCATTGGGGATGGGACAAACACACCCAAATTAGCTTCGGTTAAACATGCATATCATAATCTGGGTAAATGTGTAAGCTTTATGCGTATTTATCCCATCGTCATGGACACAACAATGATTTCCCTCGTGTTTTAATAGTTTTCCTTAAAAAAAAAGTAAAAAGCAAAAAGTAAAAAGCATCTGTGTATATGAGAGAATCATTGAACATTGAAAATAAGGGAGATTTCCCGGAATCATCCCCAAAATAAGGGATTTTTTTTTGTTTTTTACACGATTCTTACCCACAAACTTTAAAAATAAAGCACTAATCATCAAAAGTCTAAAATGAATTTCTAATTTAAAAATGAAACACTGTCTGCTTTTTTTGCTACTCTGAGAAGGGTCATTCATTTTTTTGTATTGAATTTCTACAGCACACATTTGCTAAACCCAAATAAAACTGCAGAGAGGCTTCAGAAGAAACTGCAGTGTCAAACAATCTATAAACAATACAATATACCGTCTACTGTATACGGGTAGACCTGACACACTGAATATAAAATAATGCGGTTTCTGTAATTCCTCATGTTAGTGTTTTTATGACATTGTACTGTGATTGACTAAATGTCCCTGATAGTGTATAGTTTCTAGACATAGTCTATTGCGTATTATTGCTTTTTGAAAATTAGTGTTGGAGTTTAGTTTACAGAGTGTGAATTTGAGCATGAAATTAGTCGTTTTGCCAATTGTGTGTTTTACACTCTTAGAAGAAAAGGTTCTATATAGAATCAGCGCTACGTATTTGGAACCCCTAAAAGGTTCTATACACTCTTAAAAAAAGGGTTCCTCTGGGTTCTATATAGAATCCATACATGGCCAATAGAACCTTTTACCAAAAAAAATGGTTCTATATAGAACCATTTTGGAGTTCCATATATGAAGCGGGGGATGGAACCATTTCTGGTTCTAAATAGAACCATTTCTTCTAAGAGTGTAGGTGTGTGGGTGCGTTAAGAGTTTAGGAAATTTGTTAAAAGTATTAAAAAAATTGTCATACCGATTATAAGAAACTGTGGTTTTAAGAAAGTGCATGCAAACGCACTCATTGGCTAACATCACGAGCGATCAGAATTACATTTTAGTCATTATTTATGTACGGAAGATGACTTTGCGTTGTGTGTTAAATAAATAAAACGTAAAAAGAATCGGCGCAATAAGCATAAGCTTTTTTGCTATTGTTAACATCGCAGTTTAATTTTTGTTTATATGTATACGTTCGTAAATTGTTTTTCTTTTTTGCCTTTTCTTTTGAAGTTGAACTTTATCTAACTAATGATATCAGCAGTTGCATTCATTTGCATACAGTATTTTTGCTCAGTTTGGGTCTCTGTATAAAAATGATGATACTCCACAAAAAGCCTAAACCCAGCAGATTCTCCAAACACCCACATGCTCTCTGGCCTCCACTCTTCAAACTGTGGTTTGTGTCGCAGACGTGTCAGATATCGACACCGAGAGTGGCAGGACGGGTCTGTCCCGTCTCTTGTGAAGTGGGATTTTGACAAGATCATGCAAATGAATCAAAAGGGCAGACACTGGGTTCAGAGACGAGGAAGCGCATGTTTCACGCTGTCCATCACATTACAACCTTTCGCTGGAGCCGTGTGTCGTTTACAGCGGTGCATACAAATGTGCTTAAGTCAAACGGAAGACTATATGAATGTCATTGCAATCGAATAGACTGCACAAACACACTCTTCAAGCAAAACAGAAATAACAACACGTTTTTTTGAAAAACATCTGATGCATTTCCAAGTGAAACACGAGAAAAACTGGTAAATAAGGTTCATAGTTAACATGAGCTAAGAACTAAGAGCTTAGTCAATATTACTTTCAATATGTACTAATACGTTATTAAAATCAAAGGTTGTGTTTGTTAACATTAGTTAATGCACTGTGAACTAACATGAACAAACAATGAACAGCTGAAAAGTTATATATATATATATATATATAATGTTATAATAAACACAGTAATGTTCATGTTAGTTAAATATGTTCACTAATGAACAGAATTACAGAAAAATGATAGGGTAGGGTTTTATCCATTAGGAATTGATTGGATTATGAAAATGGCTATAAAATATCAGGATGAACGTCAGATCTTCACTTTAACGAACCATCACAGACACTATCATGACGAATCACTCAAAATAAAACCAGAAACATGCATTAAGAACATAAAACGGTCCTTTTAGATTTCATGCTGATTGTAAAAGATATCAGTCTTATTGTGTGTTTCTCCATCTCTCATCCTGAATAAAATACAACCAAATATGCATATCCAGCCACTGACAAAAAGATGCTATTTTAATTCATTAAAAAGTACAAATGTTATATATATACACCACTATTCAAAGGTTTTGGCTTTTCTCATTTAATCAAAAATACAGTGAAACCAGCAAAAACCAATGTAAAACTGTTTTCTTTGTGAATATGAATGTATCTCCAGTGACACATGATCCTTCATAAATCACTCTAATATGAGGATCTGATGCTCAAGAAACATTCATGATTATTATCAGTGTTGAAAACCGGGATACATTATATTTTTTTTTAGGTTTCTTTGATTTTTGATTTAAAAAGCAGCATTTATTTGTATATATTGTGGGTCTTCACACATCCACCAAAAAAACACTAAAACACCAGATGAAGAAAAGTTGTGGACATTCACATTAAACAAACTTAAAGTGTGTTTGTGCTTCTTTTTTTAACAATAAATATCCATTCATATACAGGTGAAACTCGAAAAATTAGAATATCGTGCAAAAGTTCAGTAATTCAACTTAAAAGGTGAAACTATAGACAAGTGAGATATTTCAAGCCTTTATTTGTTATAATTTTGATGATTATGAAAACCCCAAATTCAAAATTAGAATATTGTGAAAAGGTTTTCATAATCTGTAAGCCATATCATCAAAATTATAACAAATAAAGGCTTGAAATATCTCACTTTGCATGTAATGAGTCTATATAATATATTAGTTTCACCTTTTAAGTTGAATTACTGAACTTTTGCAGGATATTCATGATTTGACATTCATAGTAAGTGACGCTGTATTTTCTTTCCCATATTTGTGTTTGGTTCAGAGGAAACGTGTATTTTTCTAATGTACAATTTGATCTGAAATGCAAACAAGAATATGTCGAGCGTCAAGCAGAAAAGACAGAAGGACAGTAATAATTTGAGAGAGAGACGACAACCGCGACACACTCCGGCATTTATCACTCTGGCCGCATCCGAGCCGGAGCTTGATTGATCGGAGCGTCTCTCCGGCGCGACCAGAGACAGGACACATTACATTAACGCTGGGAAATCCTCGGGAGAGTCCGGTCTGATTGTCTGTCAGAACGTCGTGAGCCGACTTTGACGGATTGCTGCGTTATGGAAAAATTGTAGTAAAATCAATTCATGCTAATATGAGGCGAGTGCCATAACTAAGCCAGAGCCCGACGCCTGCCGGCTCACGTTTGATTAGTTATTGTCGTGAAAAAGCAATATATTTTTAAGCCCGACAGTTAATTTGCACCTCTGTTGAAAATAATTTTTTTTTTTGGCCAGTCTGAAATTGTGTTTCCCATTAAAGTGCATGATGTGTGTGTAAATGTGCTAATGGATGAAATCGCTGTGCTGAGAAGTAATTTTACCAGAACACAATAACAAAAGCACTCAAAAACGCACAAATAATCCGACGCTAAAAGCCAGACCTGATGAAATTATCAGCAACTATTTAACATACGACTCTAATGTTCAACATTTGGAAGAGAATCAGGACTGATTCATATCAGATAAACGACAAATTCAATTAAAACCCCATCATGCCACATTTGTGCATTTCTGAATGAGGTCAAACTCGCTTTATAACCTTTGAGCACATTTGGGATTTGCAATAATTGGCTCTAAATATTCATATATGTCAAGATAAACTGTCTGCTCGTCATATTTATATTTTAACTGAAAGGTGAAAAGTGTAACACGCACCTAATGGAGTTCAAGAAATAACCAGACTTTCACCCTTTTAACAAAATATATAAAAGATATAATAATAAAATATGATACGTTTCCCATGCAGAAGGCACAATGCACTCCAATGGTTGCCAGGGTGTTGCTATGCAGTTGTCACGGCAACATGCCTGAAGATTTTCTGATGTGTCTAATGGATGCAATCATGTGAAACAAACACCTCACACACTCTCTCTCTCACACACACACACACACACACACACACACACACACACACACACACACACACACACACACACTTTTATTCAATTCCATTGCAAGTTCACTGGCCTCACAGATCAACACATAAATAGATCTATTTACATTCCAATTCAAATTCCTGTATGTTTTGCCAATTCAATTTAAATACATGTGTGTGTGTGTGTGTCGTACCGTCGCTTTGTCGTACAGCGCGTGATTGTCCAGCAGTTTTCCTCGCTCCAGTCTGGCGAATCGCCTCAGGTCTCGTTCAAACAGCTGGAGAAGAAGAGAAACAGATAAAGACCCAGACTCAAAGCTGATTTAACAGGTTTACTTGCTAAACATGCGAAATACATTAACCCTCAGGTGCTCTTCGTTTCGGAGTCAAAAGTGACCGGACACCTAAAAATGAAACTTTCTCCATCCCAGTAAAACCAATGCAATTTATTTTTATTCTATAATATTTATTCTTTTTAATTTAGTATTTTGAGACAATTTGATTGAACTTATTAATATTTATGCAATATTTATGGTCTATTTTTGCTATGGAAAAATATTTTTTTCTATATATATATATATATATATATATAATTTTTTTTTTTAAATGTTAATGCAGTATTTTAGTTTAATATAGAGTCTAAGAAAATTAGCACCATCTGTTTACAGTATAGAGAAAATCGTAGAATCATGGTGTAACCACTAGATGGCATGTACAGCTCTCTATGGAGAGGCATGTGAATTCCCCAGCTGTTTATGAACACATTTTTTTGTTGTTGTTGGTGGTGGATTTAGGGTGACCACCTGCTAATAAGCCCAAGGGGGGACAAGGGGTATGTTTCTGAGGGACAATGTGGGACACTTCTTGGCGCGGCGGTGCCCCCACCCCACGGGCAGACTCTGATAGTGGTTTACCCATATCTAGAACTGTTACTATTGCCTTACTGTTTGTACATGAATAATTGTTCAAAAAAAAAAAAAGCACATACTGTACCTTACATACATTAATGCCCTTTTCCCTAAACATGTGTAATTGCTGATATATGCTCATGATAGGCCAACCAATGTGTATTTTTTTTTTCTAAATAAAGATGAATATTTTGAACATTAAATGAATTGACAGATGCACTTCCACTTACGATTTACTTTAGCTATTTAATTTTATTTATTTTTCATTACAATTAATTCACTTTAAATAAATAAAAATATAAAATTATAGGATTAACGGGAATTATAGTTGCTCAACGCCACAGGAACAGTTTTTAAAAAAAGTCGAAAAAAAGTCTAAACTCACAGCTCCAGAGGTTCACGGAACGAGAAGCTGCGCTGTCATGACACCAATGAAAAAGTTGACATCAACCTAGTCAGCAGTTCACGTGGGAGTGGCAACCAGTCTTGGGGAAGTTCACTTTCTACATGAACTAGTTCAAAGTTCAGTTCACACATTTTAAAATGAACTAGTTCAGTTCAAAGTTTGCACAGAAATGTAAGATTTTTCCCATTTTCACCGACCTCGTTATAAAATCCGTTTAAATTATCATACGACGCCTTTGTCGACGGCGGCCGCGGTGCGACACTGGTGGCTTGTGTTGCCAGATTGGGTGTTTTTTCGCTACATATTAAGCCCTGTTTACGGTGAGTTTTAGCCGGGTTTTCACCTGGAAGGCTCTATAGAAATCTGGCACCCCACTGAACGAAGTTAAACTGAGAGAGCGTGCGTTCACAGACACCAGAATGAACGAGTTCCCACGTTCATCAGGACAGGCAGTAAAACAATACGTTCAGTTCACCCAAAATATGAACGAGTTCATAAACGTGAACGTGTTCAGGCACTAGGTTTGGCTGCCTGGGTCTCGAGGATATAGACTGACCAACTTTTTTTTTTTTTTTTCAGCAAGCATTGATTATGCGTGACACGGTCTCAATTTGCGGGACGCATGAATTGGGCTTCAAACGCTGTGCGCGCACGCGCTACGCGGGACGGGTGGTCACCCTAGGTGGATTTGAATATATAGTTGAAACAATCTCAAAAACGATTTATTATTAAAAAAATTGACAAAAAACAAAAATTCACAATTTTTTTTTTCTTTTTTTTTACAATTTCCCATTCATTTCTTATGGGGGTCATTTTTGACCAAAGACCACAAGTGTGACTATTTTTTTAAGACCACTTAGCATGCTCAGATCATGACCTCAATTTTTTTGTGTGTTCACATACATAATGTCATAAAAGTCACCAAGTTTCGTAACATTGCGATGAAGCTGTGATTTTAAAAAATTCAAAACATACTTTTTGTAATCAAAATTTATTGGTGTGTACGTGTATAAAAGTGTGTTTGTATGTGTGTGTGTGTGTGTGTTGGTGGGTGTGTATATAGATATGGCTATGTTTGAAGTAATCGCTTTTCTTTGCACAATATAGACTCTTTCGGGATTAGTCTATAATCATAATATATAAAAAAAAAAACATAGTGAGAAAAATAGAAAAATCTCTTTAAAATCTCAAATGATTTTTGTAAAGCGCAACGAGATTAAATAGAGCACATGAATGTTGATCCAGTAATAATGTGCTATTTGTGTAAATCCTATTGTGCATTATAATATCCTCTGATCAAATACACAGATAATATTTTCATATCACAAACAGAATAATCTAAGGAATAAACTGCAGCTAAGCAATATCACAGAGTTTATTTCTTCCCTGGAGTGAATAAAGCACACAGTTAAATGAGATTTAAAACACACTACAGTATATTGATTTAGTTGTTTATGGTATTACGCATCATGAATGTCTTTAGAGACTCTTATCATGGCCAGACTTCTCTATTAAGCTCTTCAAACATACAGTAGCTAGTTTTATCACAATCTAAAGATCCTCAAGGTCTTTTTGGGCTTGAAATAAACTCCACTATTGGACGCCATGAACCATCCGGACACAGAGGGAATGGATAAATGAGTTTTAAAGTTTTCTGTTCTTCTAATGAGATGCACAATCAGAGTTTGAAACGAACAGCCGCCAATAGAGAGCCTAATGATGCGTTCATGTGTCAATATGATATTTTCCACTTGTGAACTGGTGCGTTCAAGTGCTTTTGTTGTTGTAATGTGGTAAAGAGATGGAGATCTAGACCTGTTATTTAAGTTTAACAATATATATATATATATACACATTGTATATATTATAAAATTTTGGTTTTTACCAAGCTATGACGTATTTAACTTAAATTAACACTTCAATCGGTCGATAATTTAACAGTATATCAGATAATTAAATACGGTTTATTTCCGTAAATTTTAAGTTAAGTCTGTAAAATCTTATTACCGTTAATTCTTGCTACCGTATTTTATACAGTAAATTTCTGCCAACCACAGCTGCCGCTATTTTACTGTAAATTGAACACATTTTTTTTTTTTACAGTGTAGACCTGTTATTTAAGTTTAACGATATATATATATACACATTATATATATTTTAAAATTTTGTTTTTACCAAGCTATGACGTATTTAATACGGTTTAATTCTTATCTTTTTTCTTATTTTTGGCTCATAGACGTGCTGAATGGCCGGTAACTTTAAATTTAGAAGCCAAATTGTAGCAATATGCATTTAACAACATATGATTTAACATATTTGCATATATAATTGATAATGAGTAAACAAAAGTTGATTTCAAACCCTGGGTTGGGATAATGATCTGCCTCAGAAACTAACGTCCTCTCGTTCTCCATCTTCATCACAGTGACGCTGCGCTGATGCTACACACGCCGTGGGTTACCGATGCATCATGGGATAGCAAACCCCAGGAGCGGCGAGCGGGAGACTGTAATTACAGATGATGGGTCGAGCGTCCACATGGACCTGAAGCTCAAGGTCAGGGTTCGTCTATAAACAGCTCGAGTCAAACTGCATCTGTCTCTGGACGCCCCAAAGTCTCTCCTCTGCGCTTGTGGGACGTTTAGGGACACAATAGATACTATATTTGGTTTAAATGTAAGATTTATGTGTTGAATTGCATGTAAAATTTTCATGCATTTTAACACACTTTTCAATAAGGTTCATTCGTAAACATTAGTTAATGTGTTAACTTACATGCACTAAAAATTAACAAAACATTTGTTGCTATTTATTCATCTTTGTCGCTGATAGTTAATAAAAATACAGTTGTCATTGTTTGTTCATGTTAGTTTACAGTGCATTAGCTAATGTTAACAAACACAACCTTTGATTTTAATTACGTATTAGTAAATATTGAAATTAATATTGACTAAGATGTTGTAGAAGTATTGTTCTTTATTAGTTTGTGTTAACTAAAGTAGTTCACTTAATGAAACTTCTTGTAAAGTGTTACCTAACAAACTAATAAGCTTTATGTAATTCAAATAAATGCTTTTTGAAAATAGGATTATTTGAATAAAATCCAAATAGATGCAAATTTGACAATAAATTATGCCATGTTTTTTTCAGAAATCTTTAATTTACGTGAATATGCAAATATGTTAAATCTTATGTTGTTAAATGCATGTTGTTTTTGCATTTGTGTAAATATATTAGAATATAAAAGCTACTTGTGTTTCTCTTTACCTCTAGTGATATTAAAGAAAAAAGTTTTAGCACATATAGCATTTTTAATACATTGCTATGAATTAGCATGTTTTGCTAACATCATTTAACATGTTTCTAGCATTTTAAACACATTGCTAACATGAATTAGCATTTTGCTAGCGTGTTTGAACATTTCTAACACGAATTAGCATTTTGCTAGCATGTTGAACACATTGCTAACATGAATTAGCATTTTGCTAGCATGTTTGAACATTTCTAACACGAATTAGCATTTTGCTAGCATGTTTGAACACATTGCTAACATGAATTAGCATGTTGCTAGCATGTTTGAACATTTCTAACACGAATTAGCATTTTGCTAACATGTTTGAACACATTGCTAACATGAATTAGCATGTTGCTAGCATTATTTAATATTTTAAGGGATTGTGTTCGGCCAAAAATGAAGACAAATTAAGATTTTTGAATGAAATCTGAGATTTCTGTCCCCATATTAAAAGTTGGTAAAAGGATAATTCAAATGATTTTGAGTGGTTTAATCCAACACTTCTGAAGAGATACGATCGAACAGATTTCATTTAGGCTTTTATTCACATATAAGCACATATAGCACTCAAATTTGCTAAACGAAAGCTCAAGCATTCTCGCTTGATGCACTGGAGCCACTGAGGTTCATTTAGTCCAATCAGAGCGCTCATGTGTAGTGGTGCTCATACCGTGGAGCCGGTCCAGCCCAGCAGGGCGTAGGCATAGCGCTCGAGCGGCGGAGCCACCAGATCCACGCGCACCGCTCTCCAGTCCCGACTCGCCTCTCGCTCGCCGCTCTCCTGCTCTCTCTTCAGCTTCACTATCAGGAAACACTTGCTGAAATGATCCATGGCCTCAAAGCGATGGGTCGGCAGCTGGCTCAGGTCAAAGGTCGAGTCCTGGAAGTCTGAGTACAGCAGGATGTTCTGAAAAATAGGTTTATTTTATACTCATTTGTTTTGTTTTTAGAATACGAGCATATGTGGTTGTTAGTCACTGGTTATTTTTGGAACTGTTAAAGACAGGGGAAAAGCACATTGCTAGCATGTTGTAACAGGTTGCTAGCATGAATTTGCATGTTGCTAATGTTCTGACATGCTGCTAACGTGAATTATCATGTCGCTAGCGCGTTTTAGCACATTGTTAGCGTGAATTAACATGTTGCTAACATTTTTTATCACGCTGCTAGCGTGAATTAGCATGTGGCAAGCATGTTTTAGCCTATTGCTAACGTGAATTAGCATGTTGCCAGCATGTTTTAGCATTTTGTTATATTTAGCATGCTGTTAGCATGTTGCTAGCATAATTTAAAATGTTGATAACAGTTTAACATGTTAGCTAGCGGTGGAACGGATCGCAGTTGATCCGTGACCCGTGCGAATCAGGTCCCGCGGTTCGGCACGCATGTGATTCGCAGATTAACTGCAAAATTTAATCATCATAGAGTGAAAGTTTATAATTTGGACATGTTTTGTCTCGCCAATTTACACATTCAAACAATTTTAAACGCAGGAGAGGCAAAAAGCGCACAGAGAGAGAGAGTCAGTGATGCGACGTTAGCATTTTTCATGCTAGAAACATGATAATTCATGCTAGTAACAAAATGCTAAAACATGCTAATCCAAGTCAGCAATGTGTTAAAACATGCTCGCCACATGCTAATTCATGCTAGCATCGTGATTAAAAATGCTAGTAACATGTTAATTTTACGAGTCGACGACTAACCAGTGATGCACTCTCTATTTATTGAAGTGTAAACAGTAGAACTAGACGTTTTTATTGTTTAAAATAATTTTCATAACTGAAATAAAATAGCATAAATATTAGACGTAAAAAATCTCCTCATCTCGGCTCTGCATGTAATGAGTCCATATAATATATTAAGTTGAAATACTGAAATAAATGAACTTTTTAAGTATAGATACTAAAATAACACTCAGTAATAGTGATATCTCTTTAGGGGAAATGAAGAAATTAATGCTAATGAGCAAGTGAAGAGAGTTTGTAGGAGCAACGAGAGGCCTGAGAGCGGGTTTCCGCCGCTCACGAGTCGTCTGATTATCCAGCGCCGAATGGGGGCAAAAGCTAAGATCATTTGCATTACAAATTGTCAGTTTAATTGCAGCCGCTTTAATAATTGTTGCACTACTGTATCCCTCTCACAGCGCATCAATCTGAAGCGCTCGTGTTAAAGAGCAATAACTGCCGGAGGGTTGACGCTCCCGCCACTCTCTCCATCCGTTAATCCCTCAGACGCTCCGTCTAATTGCGCAAACCTCGTGTAGAAATAACCTTGTGTTAAACGCCGGCGCGTCCGACACCATGATGCTTTAGCAGGGAGTGTGAGACTTCCATGATCGCTCACAGGTTGCTCTTAAACAGCTCGGGAGACGTAATTATCTTCCGCTTAATAATCCCGTTTATCTCCTAAAGTTCCTGTGAAGGTTTAAAGTCCCGCTGTAGTTAATAATTGTATCCCTTGAAACTCATCTTTGATCACCAAAATGAGTTAAATGATTTTTCCCTGAAAAAAAAAATCTTGATGCCTTAAAATAGCTTGAATATTTCTCCTCATTTAATATGCGCGGTTCTATGAATATGCAAATGAGCCCCGCCTCCACTCACATTAAAAACACCACATAGGCACATAAACAACATTAAAAGCTAGATTTACACCAAAGGGGGATTTAAACATTTTTTCTATTCTAATATTTTGTCATTTTTGTAAAGAAATGACATTGGTTGAAAAGTTAATAAATTAAAATGATAAAAATATCAATTAAAATGATCAAAATGAAGGGTGATCCGATCAGGATTTTTTGGGCCCGATCACTGGAAGCGGTATCGGCCAATGCTCACCATAAATAAATAATAATACATGATTAAAAAAAAAAAAAATCTATACACTGTAAAAAATATTGTTGGTTTAACTTAAAAAAGTAAGTAACGTAAACCTAATAAAAAAAAACCTAAGTAAGTAAAAAAGATCGTTGCCTTAAAATGTTAAATTAATTCAACTGGAAAAAGTGAGTTAATACAAAGAAGGAGATTGATTTAATCATCAGAAACTCAAAATAATAAGTTATCTGAACTAAATAAATTATTTAAGTTGATTTGACAAAAGAAAAAAATGTTGTGATAACAAATCTTGAAATTATTTTTTTTTACAGTGCAGCGAGGAATATAATTCCTGGCCTAAAAAGCAGAACAAGAGTCTTTATCAACAGAAACTATCAAATGTAAAACAACCCTGAATAGTGTGCACTGTATAAATTAAATATACTGTAGATTAATCCTACTAAATTGACTAAAAAGGTTTTTTGTTGCCTCAGGTTTATTAGGACTAGGGTTGGGTATCGAGAATCGAGTATCGATTGGAACCGGGACTAACTTTTTTTTTTCCCGGAATCGTTCAAAAGTTAAAATTTCAATTCCTAGTTTCGATATTCACAGTCCGCCGAGCGGAAGAAGAATCCGCTGAACAACACCAACGAAGAAGCGTCTACCGGAAGTGTTGGCATAACCGCGCGAGTCGAACATGAGTAGCTTATGTCGGCGGTCCAAAGTGTGGCTTCACTTTTCTAAAAATTAACGAAATCTCGGCAAAATGCAAAATTTGTGACTAGTATTTGTGACAGTAGGAGTATTTCCTTCAGAAAGACCGTTGGTTAGCAAGGTTAGCTAAACTTTTTTGACCCTGCCTCTTAAAAGAATCGAAATCGAGAATCGTTAGGAACCGGAATCGAAACAAGGAATCGGAATCGGAATCAGAATCGTTCAAATTCAAACGATACCCAACCCTAATTAGGACGCTGTCACTTTAAGAGCTAATGCACTGATCTCACACTGATACACATGCCATTTATTTCCCAACTGTTTATGTTCACTTACGACATAACTGACTGAGTGAATACTCACCGAACAAGGCATTTTTACATATTTAACCGTTTGACTGAAGCATAAAGTTCAATTTATGCAGTTTTAATAACTCGATTTATTCTCGATCACGTCCTCTAGTTTACTTCAAATACGCTCCGCACACAAAATAAGGTTGGAAATCCCTTTTAAGAGTATAAAACAAACAGATCATTTGAGTTCATAAACCTGGCATTGGCTCTTTTGACAACTTGCTTTTGTTTCTCTTTTCTAAGTTGCCTGCGAAGTGCATAAATGTGAAAGTAAATATTGAGTTTCTCTGACTTAAATATTATAATCTGAGCTTTGTTTGAGACACTTCTGAAATATATCTTTCTGAAACTTTATTGAACATGAACATCAGTCAAAAGCATCAGTGAACATTAGTGTTAACAATGACATTTTAGTTCCTTTTTTTCTCTCCCCTTTATCCCTTTAATGCAAAAAAAACAATAATAAAAATGATAAATAAATTAAATAATAATAATAGTAAATAAATAAAAAATAAATAAATAAAAAACAGAATAGCACAGATAAAAGGGAAAGTAAATAACAATTAAACATAGCAAGTTAGATCTCAGAGAAGACAAGTTAGATCTTCAGATGCAAAAGCCTCTAAGTGCCATTTGAAATTTTCTTCTAGAATGATCATTTTTATCAAGCTTGTATATTTAAGTTTAGTAATTTCACTTAAATGGCAATGAAGATTACCTATTAATTGTCATTTAAGTGAAATTACTGAACTTAAATATACACGCTTAATAAAAATCATCATTCTAGAAGAAAATTTCAACTGGCACTTGGAGGCTTTTGCATCTGAACTCTTCAAATAAACAATGTTTAAACTTTACAGGACTAGTTTGTTTACACAGAGGTAAAGGACACAGTAGGAATAGTTTTCTTAAAAAACCCACTTCTGAGGTCTTTAAAAAAACAACATTAATGTTTCGTCTCTGTTCATGACTATCTGTTCTGGACAGTGTGTGAGATTAGGATTAGGTTATCTCGAATCATAGGAAAGGCCCAGATGGATCTGTGCACGCTTGTGGAGATACGCTTGCCCTCGATTTCTCATGCAATGCAACTTTTGGACTTTTCAGTCGACAATGAATGAGGCCGAAGCTGCAGCACCGTAAAGCACAGCAACGATTCAGTATAAACATGAATTTAGCTATGCTAACACATGCATGCTATGGTCTTTTCACATACACTCACCTAAAGGATTATAAGGATAAACCATTTTTAACTATTGCTATTTTTTCTGGTTGAAAATGTGAATGTTTTTATTTGTATCTGTTTATAATGTTCATAGAAATGCCCAACCAGGGACAGGAGTTGAAAAGTAGCACAAACTCTATAGGCTGCGCATCAGTTGTGACTGTATGGTCACTATTAAATAAATAAATTAAATAAACTTACAAATGCATTCACACTGAATCTTTACATTTTACATTTGAATGTATGCATTTAACAAAATACCCAAAGCGACAATAGAGGAACAGAAAGCATTCGCCACAGAGTCTAAATCGACTTACAAATGAGGAATAAAACACGTGATTAATCTTATAATATCTAGAAATCATTCAAGAGAATTTACACAAAAAATGGAATATGGAAAACAAGATAAAAATACTGAGAAATACTGAAAAATGTAAAATAAATTTTTTTTTTTTTTTTTTTTGATGATGATGTTCTTCCTCAGTATTTTTATCTTGTTTTCCAACACAAATATCTGAACATTCTTTACATTTACTGGAGAAGCAAAATGACGATATTAAGTCTTGCTTTCTTAAACGTGATTTAAGTTTACACTTAAAACAAGAACAAATATCTGCCAATAGAGGGCAGAAATATAAACTTGTTTTTTAAATTAAGTAGATTTTTCTGATCCCATTGGCTGATATTTCTTCTTTGTTATTGTGAATGATTCAACAGTGCAAAATGTTTGTGTTCACAATCCACTTAGAGCCTTTTTAACTAATGCATAATTTGTTAACTTTGAAATATGTCT